TCTGCTAGAGAGACTGCAACTGGCCGACCAAGCGGCGTGAGTGTGGTGCAGTCTCGAAAGAAGGAGCGGGAAGCCCCCGAGTCAAGGGTGAAGGTGTGAGAGGCCAGAGCCGACGCGGTACCCGAGAGAGCAGACTCACCCGCACCTGAGGAAGCAGACTCACTAGCACCTTCAGCAGCAGCCGCACCTGTACCTGGAGCAGGAGACACACTAGCACCCAGAGCAGCAGCCGCACCAGCAGCTAGAGCAGCAGGATCTATACCCGGGTCAGGCGGTACGCACAGGTGACCGGCACGGTCAGCACTAGTAGGCAATGCATACATGGCCGTGAGAATAGCATCATAGTCAAGAGCAAATATATCTACCCTCTGCCTAAGCAACTCCACCCAGTCGGGGAGCTCAGCCTCGTCGCCAAACGCAGTACGCCAGGCGTCGCTCAGACGGGCAAAGCAGCGGGACGGTGTGTGACTAGGCGTCCCACAAGGCTGACCAGTCCGAGCACCAGTGCGAATCACGTAAGAGCAGCGAACAGAACTGAGAGACCCTCCACTCTGAGCATACCACTCACGAAGCTGCCGGGGCGTGAGAGACGCGCGTGGGCGTCGTTGGAGCTGCATCTGGCCTCCGCCAGTAGAAGCAGGAGCAGGAGTAGCAGCAGTAAGGCAGGCAGCCAAGCAAGTAGTAGGCAGCGCGCTAGTAAGGCAGGGGCTCACCAGTGGTGGGAAGAGGAGGCTCGACGACTCGGCGATTCGGCGACTTGGCGGCACGGCGGCACTGCAGCAACTGCGGCTCGGCGGCTCGGGCGACTCGGGCGGCTCGGCTGCTCGGGCGACTCGGGCGGCTCGGCGGCTTGGCGGCTCGGCGGTACGGCTGCTCGGCAGCAACTGCAGCTCGGCGGCTCGGCGACCCGGCGGCTCGGGCGGCTGAGGTGGCGCTGCGGCTCGGGCGGCTCGGGCGGCTCGGGTGGCTCGGGCGGCTCGGGCGGCTCGGGCGGCTCGGGCGGCTCGGGAGGCTCGGGCGGCTCGGGTGACTCGGCACTAGCTCGGCGGCGCCGGCGGCTCGGTGGTGACGGCGGGGCCGCCTGGGGACGGCGGCGGGGTGGGGTGGAGCGGCGACGGGGCCAGCAGAGGCGGCGCCGGGGCCGGCACAGGTGGAGCAGGGGCGCAGGGGCAGGCGACGGGGCCAGCAGAGGCAGGGCCGGGTCGGTGCAGGGCTGCGGGGCCGCAAGGGAGGTGGCGGGGCCGCGGTGTAGAATGGCGGTAGGGGCCGCGACGAAGGGCGGCAGGGGCCGCGACGAAGGGCGGCAGGGGTCGCGACGAAGGGCAGGGCCGCGACGAGAGTGGCTGGGGCCGCGACGAAAGAGGCGGGGTCGCGCGCCTCGGGGCGGGGCCGCGACGTAGGGCGGGGCCGCGACGTAGGGCGGGTTCGCGACGTAGGGCGGGGCCGCGACAAGGGGCGGGGCCGCGACGAAAGAGGCAGGGTCGCGCGCCTCGGGGCGCGCGCCAGAAAGAAAATCGCCGCGCGCCAAATAGGTCGCACGCCGCGGGGCGTGCGACAGATCGAGTAGCAGCGGAAGCAGTAGTAGGGCCTTAGGAACAGTTCCCACGAGGGAACCTGCTCGATACCATGAGAGAATTGAAACGAGAATGAATCAACTATGAAATGAGTGAGTACAAGTAGTAACCCTAATTGGGTTGTACCCCCTATGGGATACCCCACTATAGCCTACACAAATGTATAAGCTATATAGCATTCTGACAGTAGGGCGACAGATTGGCAGGTACAGTTGGACATTTTTCATTGGCTGCGATCAAAGAGAATTGTACAGTTGTGTGCTTTGATTGGGTAACAGTACACCCGTTTTTTCAACCTCCGTGCAGGGGCGTGGTTTCGATGCGCGGGATTTTTTCCCCCCTCGAAATCGGCATTTTCAGGTGTCCAGGTGCATGTGGTCGTGTCGGGCATTTCGAGTCGAGTACGATTTTTAAACAATGACGGGTCGTTTCGCAATTCGTCAGCGACGTCAGCGGCATTTCATGCTGACCAATAAAAAATACAGTAGAAGTCGCTGCAAATCGACTCGCATTTGGGACACAATACAGTTTATGTTGTTTTTAGGTGTACCAAAGTGATTGAGACAGAAGTGTCCCGACAGGAATGTTCCCTAACTGAAAAATACTAGCTTTTTGTATTTCTCACTTAGTGGGTTCAGTGAAGGGTGGGTCGTGGGGACTGCGAAATACGAAAGCTGCGAAAACGTACTACCACCTGCGAAAGCTGGATGTAGTGTGGGTCGCCAAATGAGCAGTGTTACCAGAATCTTGACCAACCAATAAGGAACGCATTCAGAAAACCACGACGTTGCGAAGCTCCAATAATTGTTTCGCCTCACCGCGAAACTACTCGCTGGAGGAAACCCGAAACTGACAGAGCGATGTGTGGTTTGCAGCAGAAACTCACAATTATGGTCACCACGAACAATTCTCGTTGAACCCTCACGCTCGTGACGAACGTCGTTACACCTTGTTTCGTTGTCGTCGCCACGCAGTCAGTTCGCCAAGAGAACAAAATAATTGTCACAGCCCCAATCTCGGATCGCTTCGCGATGGCGACTCGAGCCAAGCCCCAACTCCCAATTCTTTCCTACCACTCGTTCACCTATATTTATCTCCTGCTTCTGCACCTACTCTCATCAATATCGACTTATGCCCAGCGCCGAGAATCTGATATTCAAGCCTCCACGTTTCAAGTCTGGTCTTTAATTTTGAGCTGTTCCTAGTCACAAATAAAGAGCTCAGCTAGCCCTCAGCGAATCTTTCTTTCTCCCTACACTCCGATGGCTCTCGTTTCTAAAGTCGGTGGCCTGCTGTGCGTGGGAATTCTCCTGCTAGCTCTCGCCCTCAATCCTGCCGACGCCGTATCTGCCAGATCAGAAGACCTTAACAAAGGCGCCTCGTGCTACCCTGAGTTGAAGAATTTCGGCGACAATCCCTATTTCGACAAGGGCATGGTTGCTGAGATTCCCGTGAGCAAGTTCGACGCCGGGAAGGCCTGCGGAACGTGTTACCAGGTTACCTGCAAGAACAGCAAGAGGTGCAACAAGGGAGCTAGCGTGACGGTGCGCGCGATGAACAACGACGGCGACGGCTTCACGCTCAACAACCCCGCGTGGGACAAAATCGTCCGCGACCGATCCGGCAGCGTGGAGGTCGAGTACCGCAGCGTGGACTGCCCGACCAACGGCCGCGGCATGGCGGTCATGATCGAGAGGAGCAGCGGCCCGTACTACTTCGCACTTTACGTTCTGGGCGCGGCGAGGAACGCGGCGGTGGGGAAGGTGGAGCTGTCGACGGACGGCAAACAAGTGGACGGGCATGACGAGGGGCGGGTGGGGCGCGCGGTGGGAGCTGCCCTCCGCCAAGGACGTCGTGGGCGCGGGGCGCAAGGTGAGCGTGCGCGTGACGGCGGCGGTCACCCAGCAGCAGGTGGTGCTGCAAGACGTGATTCCGAGCAAGTGGAGCGCCGGGAAGACGTACGAGAGCAGCTCCAACTTCTGAACGGCGTAGGAGTGCTGCGACGGGAGACAGAGAGTGCTTCCAACGAATGAATGCAGCTCCAACTTCTAGATGGTGTGTCGCATGAGAGCTCGAGCTCTTCCAAATAAATGCAAATAATTGCTCAGCCGGCTAGCCGTGTCGATGCAGAGGACTGGCATGAGGATGCATGCTCTTAGGATGATAGTAATAATTGATCAATCCGCTCGCCTTTGTAGGAGCACCTACAGCTGCGTGGTTTGTTTTGAACCAGCATACTTGACAAAAACAAAAAAAACCTTTCCACTTCAACAGCCAGACAGTTGTGATTGATGCTGAATACCGTAATACCCCGGATTAAAGACCCGGGGGAATTATAAGAATCCCACCCCAAAAATGAGGGGTATTACCCAGTTGGCTATCTTTTATAAGACCCAGGTCTTATCATATGGTCATGTATAAGGGCGCATTCCTGCAGGGACACTTGTGTCTCAATCCCCGTTTTCCCGAGTCGCGTCTGTAAATTTGCCAAATGTTGTGTCACAAACAACCAATGTATCGCGACTCTAGGCGACCCAGCGAAATGTACAGTTGTGCGCATTTGATTGGGTGACACAAATGACTGTACATCCCTGTCTTCAACCGCTTGGCTGGGGTGTGGTTTCGACGCGCGGGATTTTTTCCCGCACGAAATTGGCACTGCATTGCTGTCCAGGTGCATTGACATTTCGAGCCGCGTGCGAATTTTTCACATTGACGAGTCGGATTACAATTCGTCAGCGACGTCAGCGCGCTTCACGCTGACCAATAAAAAAATAAAGTTCTGGTCGCGGAAAAGCGACTCGCAATTGGGACACACTACAGTTTCTGCTGTTTTTGTGTGTCACAAAGCGATGAGACATTTGTGTGCCCACAGGTTTTAACCCTAATACTTGGAACCCAGACATGCGAACAGTATGTGCTCCATTTTTAGCAGGTGTGACAGGGATATGACGGGGATATGACATGCGATATGATGGGAAGGAGGTAGAAGAATGGGTTGCTGGACAGGATGATGAATAGATGTGCTTTTGTGACTCACTGTTACCCCTCTTTAGTGAACGTGTAATGGGATTTGGTGTAGAAAAGGGTTGAAATCTACCAGAATTTCATTCTTTGCCTATAAACTGACCTCGTCTCTAGGGGGGAGGGGGGGGTCTAATAATGTTAACCCCCCAAAAGGGGGGTATAACTACAAACGACCGATTTAGCGTACCCCCCTCCGTATTATAGACCCGGGGGTCTACAACTGGAGGGGGTCTTATATCCGGGGTATTACGGTAGTAACCTACACACAGTACCATAGTACCGGTACTGGTACATCAAGGGAGAAGACTGTGGCAAGATAAGCAGAGGTCTGTACCTGGCTGACCAACTCCTTGCCTAACAGGCCAAACACCCCCACGTCCCCACCCCCCTTCTCTTTTCTCAAACCACGACATTTGCTGCCATGCACATCCCAGCCTGCATCGCCAGCCCCTCCATCTCCCCACCGCCCTCTCCCATTTCTCCTTCACCTGCCATTTCCACCTCTCCACCCATCACTCCCTCCTCCTCCTCCTCCTCCTCCTCCTCCTCCTCCTCCTCCTCCTCCTCCTCCTCCTCCTCCTCCTCCTCCTCCTCCTCCTCCTCCTCCTCCTCCTCCTCCTCCTCCTCCCACCCACTCGTCAGAGGACCCCTTGCATCCACCCCTTCCCATGCCTCCATTCCCGCTATAAGCAGCCTCTGTGCCTCCTCGCGGGCGGCGTCAACGCCCTCTTTGTCTCCAGCCTCTTCCGTCCTCTGGCACAACACATTGCTTTTGCTGTCTGCACCTGCAGCACTGCCTGTCACACTGTGAACTGAGGTCCCTATCACGTGCACCACAGCACCTATTGCTGCAGTCGTGGCAGCAACTGCAGGGGTCACTGTAGCACCATCTGCTGCACTCTCACTCGGCCTCTGCAACAGCAGTCCTTGGTGCTTACAGGCACCTCCTGTGCTCCCCAATGCACCCCTGCTTCCAGTATTCTTGCCTGCAGCATCACATTCTTGTTCTTTCCCTTCCTGCCTCCCATCAACCTTCTTCTGCCCTTGCTGCTGCGTCTGCTCGCGCCTTGTCTTTTTCTGCTGGTGTTGCCGCACAAGGGCCTGCAAGGGAAGGTCGTCATCAGAATCCTCCTCTTTCACTGCACCCTGCTGCTGCTGTTTTGCGCTTGCTGCTGCTGCTGCTGCTGCTGCTGCTGCTGCTGCTGCTGCGGGTTTTGCGCTTGCTGTTGCCGCTGCTGCTTCTCATGCTGCAGCGAGTGTCGAGCAAGATCACAGTCAATCTGCTGCAGTGGGGCAGCCATAGGAGTGACTCCAGCTGCTACAGCAGTTTCCGGGAACTTCTGAGTTGACGGCATCACGGCAGCCCCAACAGACCCTCTGCTCGCATCAAACACCCCGTGCCCATCGGCCTGCAGACCATTGTGCAGACCACTTTTGAGAGCATGAGTGTGCTGTGAGGCACGCTGCTGGCAGTAGCGGTGCAGGCGGGAGCACCGGCCCTGCTGCCGCCCCTCCCTCAGCCGCAGGGCAATGCGCCTCTTCCACTCCTCTATGCTCTGCACCCACCCTGCTGCCTCCACTCTGCTCGCAGGCTCGGGCTCGGAATTGAGCCTGGCAGGTTCGGAATCAGGCTTGTGCTGCGGTGGCTGGCAACTAGGCTCGGCAGGGTGGTGAGTCAGTCGTTCAGACCCTCCTTCTTTCCTGTCAGCTTCGTTTCCATCTGCTTCCGACTTTTGTTGCTGCTGCTGTCTCTGCTCGTATTGACGGAGCTGTCTTTCCAGCTCTGCCTGCTCCTCACTCTCCCCTGCGCATTCTCCTCTACCTCCCACCTCCTCATCCCCTCCTTTCCTCTCCTCCTGCTCTCTATTCTCCCTCTCCTCCCTCTCCCTCCTCTCCCTCTCCCTCTCTGCCTCCTCTGCTGCAGCCAGCACAGGATGGCACGCCTCTTCCCTCTCCACCACTGCAAACCGCACTCCCCGCTTCCTCCACCCCTTTTTCTTCCCTCCCTTCCCCTCTCCTCTCCCCTCCCTATCCCCGTCTCCCCCCTTCTCACCCTCTCGCCCCTCCTCCGAGCTCCGTTGCCCCACGCCAGGGAAGGAGTAGTCGTGGCGGAGGCGGTGGCAGAAGTTGAGGAGCTCGCCGATGCCCGTGCCCCGCACCCACCCGTACCGCTCCAACCGCCCCGCCTCCTCCTCCGATAGGTCCACTCCCACCTGGCGGGAAGAAAGGAAGAGACGCTTTTTATCATTCTCAAAAGTGGCAGAAAGGAAGAGGGAAGTGAGGGGAGGTATGGGACTGCGGAGGCACACGAGGTGGGCTGGAATGGATGGCATGCAGGAGAAGGTGGTGAGGCAGGGGCATGTTTGACATTGCGCTTCTGCGTGTTTGTGGCCTACGTGGATCACAATGACCCCTTGAGAGACCAGTACTGCACTGAATGGTAACAAAAAACTCATATATATATATATATATATTAAATAAAATAAGTACTCGATTGTCAGAGTAGACTTTAGAGTCGCCGAGAAAGAGTGGACCAGCAATTTGAGAGGTGTGGACCTCAAGAGGCAGGTTGGTGATGACGTCGATGCGCGACACAGAGGCGGCGCCAAAGACAGCGAGCAGGCGCTGCAGCTGCCAGCGCACCGCCACCCCCGCTTCCAGCTCAAAGAAGTAGGTCGCCTTGCCGTACTCTGGCGCCTCCAATATGATCCTGGCAGGTAACGGTGTGGTGGGAGGTGCAGCGGTGTGGTGGGAGGTGTGCAGCAATGTGGATTATAGGCCTCGTTTAAGTCTAATCAAAGAAGTAGGTCGCCTTGCCGTACTTCGGCGCCTCCAGTATGATCCTGGCAGGCAGCCATGTGGTGGGTGGGGGGTGCAGTGGCACAGTGGGGGGTGCAGTGGCACAGTGGGGGGGTGCAGTGGCACAGTGGGGGGTGCAGTGGCACAGTGGGGGGTGCAGCGGTATGAAGGTAGGTGCAGCGGTGTGGCTGTTGAGTCGATTCAGAAGTCACCACCCCTCCAGCTCAAAGAAGTAGATGGCCTTGCCGGCCGTACGTACTCTGGCGCCTCCAATATCATCCTGCCGGGCAACAGGTCCAGGGGAGATGTGCAGGGAGGGAGGATGGTCAGGCTTGGGAGGGCTGGTGAAGTGGGTTGTTCTGCCATACTCTGGTTCCTCCAATATGATCCTTCCGGGCAGCCGTGTGGTTGGGGGTATAGGGGGGCAGTGGGGCCAGGAATTGGGGTCCAGGGAGGAGAGGAGGTTGCGAAGGCAGATGATTTCTGAGTCGGATGAATCAGGTTGTAAGGCTAGGCGAGAGGTTGGATAGGCTTGGGTGTGAAGAGTGGAGAGAAGGCAGTAGGACTGGAGGCCCCTTACCTGTTGTGGCGGTGTGACGTGTCATCTCACCTGTTGTGGCTTTGTCATTCCACTCACCTGTTGTGGGTCTGGGAAGACAAAGAGAAGCAGCGGATGGCCCCACACCAGCCCACGACACCTGCCACCCCGCCTGCTGCACGCGGCGTGCGCCTGAGCGGAGAGAGATAGGGGTGGCAGGGGGTGGTGAAAAGGACGGGTGGGGAGAGGGTTGGTAGAGGGGTGAGGGAGGAGGGGGAGAGACGGACAAGAATAGCATGACGGAACACTGCTTGATACTTGTACTATCTATCCAGTATCGCACTCTGCAAGGTGAAACCCAAGGCAGAAGCCAAGGAGCAGAGCACAGCCAGCAGCACGCACGTGCGTGATGAGCGAGCGCAACGAGGTTCTCCACACAGTACGCCGGGAGATTCCATGCTCCTGCTGCTGGCTGCTGAGTCGGCTCACAAGGCAGTAGCACTAGCGTGCACCCTGCGTGATGAGGGCAACAAGGTTCTCCACAAAGTACGCTGGCCGATTCCATGCTGCTGCTGCTGGCTGCTGAGTCGGCTCACAAGGCAGTAGCACACACACACCGGCGTGATGAGGGCAACGAGGTTCTCCACGCAGTACGCCGGGCGATTCCACCCTGCGGCTCCACCCTTCGCCTTCCTTTTTGAGTCGACTCAAACAGCAGGCAGGCAGCAGCACACACCTGAGCAAGCAGTAGCACACACGCACCTGCGTGATGAGGGCAACAAGGTTCTCCACGCAGTACACTGGCAGGATTCCACCCTGCTGCTGACTGCTGAGTCGACTCACAAGGCAGTAGCACACACGCACCTGGGTGATGAGAGCGACGAGGTTCTCCACGCAGTACGCTGGCCGATTCCATGCTCCTGCTCCGCCCCCTACCCCCGCCACCTGCCCTGGCAGGCGCTCCCACGTGTGCGAGTAGAGCTGGGGGGGCGGTGGGGCAGGGGAGAGAATGGGGGGATTTGGGAGGGCTTTTGAGGCGTCTCGAAGGCATCTGCCCTGCCCTGGCAGGCGCTCCCACGTGTGTTGAGCTTTGGGTGGTGGAGGGGTTGCTGGGATATGGGCCGGAAGTTGGAGGGTAGAGACGGAAAGTGGGTGAAGCAATTGAATGAGAGAGAGCGGCAGAGACAAGAGGGTTGGATCACATCAGAGTGTCCTCGCTGGAACAAGTGGCATTCTCACACTATGCTCACAGGGCAAATGTGCAATTGTAGATGTCCGCTCTATACACGCACTCCGATGGTCCATTGATTTAGGCGCCTCAGGCAAGATGCACATGTAAGCCCGCCCCCACAGCCGTGCAGCAGGGAGAGCAGAGTGGCCTAAGGAAGATAATTGGGGGGTCCAAGGAGCCACTGTGAGGGAAAAAAAATAAAAAAAAATAGCACACACACACACACACACACACACACACACACACACACACACCACACACACACACACACACAAAACACACAAACAAACAAACAATAACAAAAAAACAACAATAACAAAAAACAAGTTGGGGTTGGGAGAGCAGAGAGTACCCGGGACAGAATCCTCTGCAGGTCGGAGAAGTCAGAGGGCACTGCCACTGGCGCTGATGCTGCTTCTCCTGCTCCTGATCCTCCTCCTGCTGCTGCTGCTTCTGCTTGAGGCATTGCCACAGCATCACCAGAGTGCGTGCACTCAGCTCTGTCCAAACGCCAGGCCCAGCACCCACCCCTCCCTCATCCCACTCCCATCTTACACCTTGCCTGCCCCTCGCCATCCACCCTATCCACCCCATCCACCCCCATCTCCCCCCTCTGCCCCGCCATCCCGTTGCCACAGCTGACATCAGTCCCCACACGACCCAGCGTCCCCCAGCTCGCCCCTCTGAGAGGGGAGGAGACCAGCGTGGGGGGCCGTGTGCGGCTGCTCCTCACTGCTGCCGGTTGCTGCTGCTTCTGCTGCTGCTGCTTCTGGTGGTCCTGCTGTTCCTGCTGAGCGCATGAAGGCGAGGTCGAAGAGCTGGATGCCGCGCAGCAGCCCCCTCTGCTGCAGCACCTGCAGCAGCCCCGGTGCGTCTGACTCCAGCGCTTCCGCTGCTGTGCCGTGGCTGATTGGTGGGGGTAGAGGGAGGCAAGAGGAGAGGGAGAAAGGAGGTGAGAGGGGGGCAGGGGAGGATGGGGCCGGGCGGGAGAGAAAGGGAACAGGTGGAGACGGTGCTGTTTCGAGGAACACAGAGAGGAGATGGTGTTGTTGGGTTGAGCAGGTGAGTTGATGCTGCTGGCTGCGATTGGCTATCTAGGAAGACGACAGGTGCAAGTGCACACGAGGAGAGGCAGAAGGGGAAAAGAAGAAGTGGGGAGTGCAGAAGAGAGGAGAGAGAAGTGGCAGAGCTATGAATTTGCAGAGGAGAGAGAGAGGAGGAGGAGGGGAGAGCAGAAGAGCGGAGGCAGAGAAGGGGGCATCACACACACAGCTCACACGCCTCACAAGACATTGCGGGTTGGTGTGCTCACCTCTTTGCCTCCTTGGCCTCGCTCGTCCCTGCTTCCGCTGCTGCTGCCTTGGCAGCTGCCTTCCTCTTTCTCTTCTGCTTCCTTCTCCACGCTGCCCCCTTCCCCTGTCCCTGTTCCTGCCCCTGCCCCTGCCCCTGCCCCTGCCCCTGCCCCTGCCCCTGCCCCTGATCCTGCTTCTGTTCGTCATAGCCCCTTGTCCTTCATCCATCGCACCTCCCAATCCTTGCCTTGTTCCCGCCACACCTCCACCACACCCATCCCACGTCCAGCCCTCACGGCCTCCTCCCTGCATCTCTGCATCTCCACCCACTGCCTCCATTTTCACTGCCACCCTGCACTCTTGCGCGCCCGTCCCCACACCTGCTGCCACGTCTGCAACTGCCTCTGCTGCTGCTGCCTGTGCTGTGCCTGCTTCTACAGTCACCACTGCTTCGACCTTCACTTGTGCTCCCGTTGTTGCTGCTGCTGGTCCAGAGGCTCCTGGCTCAGCAGCAGCACTATAGTTCAGCAGCATGCTCCCAGTATCACCATCACCCTGCACGCCCATTCCCAACCCTTCCCACTCCTCCTCCTCCTGCTTCGGCCTCCTCTGACCCCCCCCAACTTGGTGCCCTCCCGCCTGCCCACATGACTCCGCCCTTGCTCCTTCCCCCTCTCCCGCGTCCCTCGCACGGCCAACTGGCAACACTGATGCTGCAGGAAGGGGAGCTGGCAGCGCAAGGGGGGAATTATCAGCAGCGCCAGGAGCAGGAGGGGGAGCGTCAGGAGCAGGAGGAGGAGGGGCCGGGAGCATGACCCCCCGTGAACACCTCGCCTTGCCCGCTTGCGCTTGCACGACCCCAGTTGAGTCCACACGTGAGCAGCTGCTCCTGCCTCTGCCTCTTCGCCTTGGCCCTCCTCTTCTTCCTCCCATTCTCCCCTGGCCTTCCCGCGTCCGCACCCCCCTCCCACCCATCCTCGCCCTGCTGCTCCCCCTTCTGCTGCTCCTCACCCCTCCCCTGAGCCAAACTACTCTCCCCCATGCCCCATCCTGACCTCCCCTGTGCACACGAACCATACCCCCTTGCCCATCCCTCCTCGCTCCTTCCCTGCCCCACTGATTCTCCCCACCTCCTCGCCCCCATCCACTCTCGCTCGCTCCTCCTGTCATCCCCCCCCCCATCCACTCCCCATCCTCCTCCTCCTTCCGCTCTCCATCTTTTTCTCTCACCTCCTAATTCCTCCTCTTGTTCGCTTCCCCATGCACCTTCCCCTCCCCCACCCCATCCCTCCTCAATCTTTCTCTCAACTCGGCCTTCTCTCCCTCCGCCCATCTCTCCTCTTTCACTCTGTTCGATACTCCCTTTCCCAATCCCCATTCTCCCCCTTCCCTTCCTTCCCTGTCCAATCCTTGTCCAGTTCCCCAAACCTCTGCTCCCCCTTGTCCCCATGACCCAACCCCCCCTCTCCCCCTGTTCCCCTCTCGCAACACCTCTTCCTCTCCCTGCTGCTCCCCCTCGCCTCCTCCCTCAGCCTCCTCTCTCACGTTCACAAAAACCCGTGCCTCGTTTCCGTCCCTCCCCTCTCCCTCCATCGCCCCCTCTTTAGACCCCTTCTCTTGCACCGCTCCTCCACCCCCCGTCACAGCCCTATCCTGACCTCCTAACCTCATCTCTTCCTCTATTTCTTTCTCTGCCTCTGCGGCCCCCCTGGGGCCTCCCACACCCTCATTGCCATCCCTCACTGCATCCCTCCCTCCTCCTGCGTCTGACTCCATGCCAACCTCCTCAACCTTTTGCTGCTCCTCGTCTCTTTCCTCCGCAGCACCACCTGCATCATCTTCCCCCTCCATTTCTGTCCCTTTTTTTCCCACCTGCTGCTCCCCTTTCCCAGCCAACCCTCGCCTCTCCTCCACCTTTCCCCCTCCCTTCCCGACTTCCCCTCTCTTGCCCCCACCATCTCTGCTCTCGCCCCTCCCTCCCCGCCCCCCTCCAAGCCAGCAGCACTGGCAGCACCAGCAGCACCAGCAGCATCAGCAGCACCAGTACCACCAGCAGCACCAGTACCACCAGCAGCACCAGCAGCACCAGCAGCACCAGCAACACCAGCAGCACTGGTAGCAGCAAAAGCACCGTCAGCATCATCTAAGCTCAAATCACCACTCCCTGCACCCACATCCCTGTCCCCTCCACTGCCTCCCCCCTCTTGCAGTCCCACAAGCCCCTCACTGCTCTTCGGCCTTCCCACATCCGATGCCCCATCACCTCCTTCCCCTTCCCCTTTCCTTCCAGTCGAGCCAGCAGCCACAGGCGCACCTACAACCGTTACTTCGCCCCCTTGTTCCTTCTCTTGTTGCAATCCCTGTCCCCCCTGCCCCTTGCCCTCGCCCTGCCCCTGCCCCTGCCCTGCCCTGCCCCTGCCCCTGCCCCTGCCCCTCGCCCCTGCCCCTGCCCCATGCCCCTGGCCCCTGCCCCTGCCCCTGCCCCTGCCCTGCCCCTGCCCTGCCCTGCCCCTGCCCCTGCCCCTGCCCTGCCCCTGCGCCCCGCCCCCTTGTGCCGCAGTCCACCCAATGGTCTGCAGGTGCAGGCGGTGCTGAGCCCAGGCCTGCTGCAGAGCCCTCTCCCGCCCCGCCAGCTCCCGCTCCACCTCAAACACCTGCCTCTGCTGCGCCGCCACCGCTGCCTGGGTGGTTCCAGTTTCAGAGGTAGGTTGAGCAAGATGAGCAAGATGAGCAAGATGGGTGCAAGGGGTTGAATGCGTAACTTGTGGATGGGACACATATAGGAGAAGCTCGTTTGGTATGATGATGTGGAAAAACGTGGGGGATAGATACAGGAATTCGTTTGGTATGGCAAACCAATGTGAGTCAATTAAGGTTCATCCTTGTAACGGAAATGTTAGCAGCAACTTATGAATCGACGAGTTGCTGCAGGTGAAGGAGTTATAGATTGGGCCAGGAACTCTGTAGGCAGTCGAGCTTCTACCGACTCAAGGGAAGTGTGCATGGCTGTTCAAGGAAAGCACTTCCAATTGCAAGTGGTGCTTACTCATCGATAGGCACGTGTGCATCTTGCCTTGAAATGCCCCCGCAACTGGCTCTTGCCCCCTCAACCAAGCTCGCATTGCTCACCAGCCTTACCCTTCCTCTGCACATCCCTCACCTGGTTTGCCTGTAGCTGCACATCCCTCACCTGGTTTGCCTGTAGCTGCACATCCCTCACCTGGTTTGCCTGTAGCTGCACATCCCTCACCTGGTTTGCCTGTAGCTGCACATGCCTCACCTGGTTTGCCTGTAGCTGCACATGCCTCACCTGGTTTGCCTGTAGCTGCACATCCCTCACCTGGTTTGCCTGTAGCTGCACATCCCTCACCTGGTTTGCCTGTAGCTGCACATCCCTCACCTGGTTTGCCTGTAGCTGCACATCCCTCACCTGGTTTGCCTGTAGCTGCACATGCCTCACCTGGTTTGCCTGTAGCTGCACATGCCTCACCTGGTTTTGCGTGTAGCTGCGCATGCCTCACCTGGTTTGCGTGTAGCTGCACATGCCTCACCTGGTTTGCGTGTAGCTGCTGCTCCCTGCGGCACAGATCAGCCATCTGGGATGGTACGGAGGGACGGGGAAGACATGGAAGGGGAGGGGAAGGGACGGGAGGGAGGGAAATGGAGGGAAAGGAGAGCAAAACTATCACCGTGCATGCAAGCCTTTCGCAAGTTGACAAACGACAGAAGAGGTCAGGGACAGCAGACGGCGACAGTTTGTGGAAAAAGAAACACAGGTGTTTTGGGAACTTTGCTCCCTCCTGCAACATGCCCTGCTCGCCCATATCTTCTCAATATCGGACCGTGCTTTCTCACGCTCTGTCTCTTGCTCACCTTCGCCTCCCTGTGAAGCCACTTTTCCGCCACCAGAAATCGTGGCAGCCACAGCAGCCGTGCCTCTCTGCTTCTGCCACTCCACCTCTTGCGCCCTCACCTTCTCCTCCCGCACCCTCACTTTCTCCTCCCTCTCCTTCACCCTCTCCTCCTCGCCCTCACTCGCTCCTCCCTCTGCGTCACCCCTTCCTCCCTCTCCTTCACCCTCTCCTCCTCGCCCTCACTCGCTCCTCCTTCTGCGTCACCCCTTCCTCCCTCTCCCCGCGGCTGCCTCTCTGGCTGCCACCGCTGCTTGCTGTGCCGCCATGGTGCTGCGAGCAGGGCGGAGAACGGGGTAAAGGACATGGGGGACCACACACACATACATGCTGTGCGCGCACGCACACACACGCACACACACACACACACATATGCAGCCTCCATGAGCGTAGATAAAATAAAGGTGCGCTAAGAAGGTCATATTTCCAACAAATCAGATGATGGTAATGCACACCAGGCCCCATGGAGCGAATTTGTGCATGAACCACCATATCACCTTGAAGTCAAAACGTGTTTGAGGGGCTCCATGCATGGCGACGAGGCTCATGCTATGCCAAGCCACACCACACCAGCCACGGGGCTTACTCAATCTGCTGCGAGGTGACTTTTCAGTCGACTCACAACTCACCACGTCACGCCACACCACACCAGCCAGCAACGGCACTTACTCGATCTGCTGCGCCATGCTGGCTGCAGCTGCCGCCACTGCCACGCCACGCCCTCCATCACTCCCTCACCACCACTGCCCCCGCCACCGCGTCTTCACCCCCCATGCCCTCCTCGTTGCAACCCGGAGAGCTGCTGTGTGGTGACATGTCATGTGCATGTAGGGACGCGTGGTGTTGGCAGGTGATGGCGGAAGGAACGAACGGGAGTGGTACGGTTGTGACAGAGTAATCGACAGCAACCCGAGGATGCAAGGATGCAATGCGATACTACTGCATGTTCACAAGTCTCCATCAGGCGACACCATGGTTGCCTGGAATTGAAACAGTG